GCCGCAACGGTAAATACTTTGGGAACATGAGCGGTCAAACCACCGAGGGAATCTTGCTTATTTATACATTATACATATGCGCGGAGGATGACGGCGGATCACGATTGATTTTGAAATTTGGCGCGAAATCGAAGATCGATGGGACGAGATCGATTCGTATGCAAGATCTTACGATATAAAAATATATAATATATATATATAATATTCGAGAAAATATATTTTATAATATTTTTTATATAATAGATTGTCGGCACATCCCCAAGAATCCGCGAATCAATCGAATCCCGTCAAACTTGAATTTCGTCCCCTGCCAATTTATCTGAAATAAGATCACACAAATCCATGAATAAACCACGAACTTTCCTCGTCTAATCCTCGCCAGGATGTTCCCTTCTTAGAAGCAGTTCGTCAAGTACCATCTCCGCTTCATCTCCGCCGCTTTGACCCGCGACGTTAAATCGAAATAGAGAGGAAAATAGATGCGGGGGAGGTTTGATTATTGCGTTGAACGCGGAGGAGGAGGAGAGAAGAGGTCTCGAGGGGGCGAGAAGGATGGCAGAGGGGAACGTTGAAGTCGCGAAACGCAAGTGGGCAGATACACGGGCCGAGTTCGAGGCGGTTATCAGTCCTCGTCCCGGGGAGTAGTTAAAGTACACGGGAGTTCGGCCTACAAGAGGTAGACCGTTGTACCAGATTCCTATCTGCGTAATTATTCCGTCTAAGCGAAACTTTCCGTTTATCCTTGAGAATTCGCGGCTTGCATTAATCTCAATTAACAAGGAGGCGCAACATCCGTGGCGCACCGATCATCTACCCTGTCGGCTACCTACGCTGCGCTAAATCGGTTCTAATTTCTTAACTGATCGTGCCAGGGAACCTACTACTCCAAGTGCGATATCGTGTTTCTCATTTCTTTCCTTTTCGCTTGCTTTACGTTTGTCCTTTCCTCTCTCTCTCTCTCTCTCTTTCTCTTTCCGGTAGCATTGTGTCTTTGATCTTCATCTTTCGACGATTCTTTTTTACCCCTTTCTTACCCTTTTCTCAGTCTTATTTCTCTTTTCCCTTTGCTGGAGACATGCTCCGCTGCATTTTGAAAACTTTGCTCGAATATGGTTCGAGAAAAGTGTCAGACGTTGGCCAAGTAATACGAGTCGGTTTTTCGTATTATCGTCTTTATTATTTCCACGGCGAAAACGCGGTTGATAGCGTCTCAAATAAGTGGAATACCGTGTTTCCTATTTTTCCAGACAGCCCTTTCCGAGATGTCTTACGATACACCTGGCCATATACCGCCAGTTTCTCGTTTGTCTCTTTCTTCCGTTTCTTTTCTTTTCTCGTGTCGATAAGTTTCGTCTCTTTGGATTTCGTTTCGAAGTATCACCAATTACGCGAACTGTCATTCGTTCCGATAATCGATCACACTTTCAGTTATTTCTTCAGTTATTTGTTTTTAAACGTTGTTTGTAACGTTTTCGCAACGTACAAACTGCATACTCAAGTTATCAAGGATTAATACTTTTATCTCTTCTCCTTTTATTTTCGTTGCGTCTCTCGCGCTGCTTCAGCTCGGTATATCGAGGCTGAAATCTCCTTACACAAGCTACTTTTGTCTCTTTCCTTACTCGTATGTCCATCTATTAAGGTTACACGTGAATCTATGGCCGAAGCCGATGCCGTTACCGTAAGTTACGCTGCTCAGGGGAGAATAACTCTCTCGCAAGGGAGTTTCGATCAGTTTCACGGCGCGAATCTCGGCCAAATGGAAGATTCGCGTGTCGATTAGAAAACGGATGTACATCGGAAACGCATTAACTTGCCTCGGTCAGAATCTTTTCGATATTTCTCTCGTTGAACCAACTCGTGGAATTGCAAATTTACTTATCCTCTTCGATACATTGTGAAAGTATCGAGATTCATCCCATTGACCAGGGTAATAAATATTCGTTTCATTTTTTAACTATACTTTAGAATAATAATTCCACAATTTGTACAAACTTTCGTTTTACAAATTCTATTCCCCAATCTTCTTCGATATCCGAAAGAATCGAGATACATCGAATGTCCCATTGACCAGGGTAAATATTCGTTTCATTTCTTAACTATACTTTAAAATAATAATTCAACAATTTATACTTATCGTTTTACAAATTCTATCCCCCAATTTGAAAACTCTCGAAAAGTTAGGTATTCTCTTCGATACATTGTGAAAGGATCGAGATACATTGAATGTTCCATTGATGGCCAAGATAAATAAATATCGTTTCATTTCTTAATTATGATTTAAAATAATAGTTCGACAATTTGTACAAACTATTTCACGCATAAACTTTCGTTCTACAAATTTTATCGCCCAATCTGAAAACGTTACTCTCGAAAATTCCTCACTTAGAAACGGAGGATTCATCGACTAGCCTCATACCATGACCAACTACACACGTCAAACCATCTGAAACATCGGAAACTCTTGAGTGAGCTGTTCGACGGGCGACGACTCGTAAAATTCCCCGAGTTTTACGTTCCAACCGATTCGCCACGGAACATTCTAACTTCTTGCCGGTATTAACGCATCCATATTTCTACAACAAACAGAGAAACAAGTCGGCAACGTGAAAAATAGGAAAAAAAAAAAAAAAAAAAAAAA